TGGCTCAAGTGGTAGGGCACTAGCCTTGAGCTGAAGAGCTGAGGGACAGTGCCCAGGCCCAGAGTTCAGACCCCAAAACCGGACCAAAAAAAAAAAAAAAAAAGAACTATTCTTGAAAATTTCAGAATATTTTCACTGCAGTGGTGAAAATCATTATCAACTATAATGTCAATCTTTTGCCTCCTACAAACTGAAAATAACAGTAAGTTATTTTAAATGTATATGGAAGTTTTATGTTTGAGTACTTTAACATGCTACTGGACTCTCAATGGAGAAAAAATGCCAGATTTGGGGTGGGGGAGGATGGGAAGGGATGGGAAGGGGAAACAAAGGAGGAGGCTACAATGCTTGGTAAGAAATGTACTCATTATCTTGCCCATGTAATTATAACCTGTCTGTACAGTATTTTCACAATAAAAAAAAATTCTAGATTTAGCCAAGTTAAACATTTTACACAAGACCATTTAACATTTGTATTTCAGTCCCTGTTACAGGCAATATAGCTTACTAAATTCTCTGATTTTTAAGGCAACAGTTTCAGGTTTTAGATAATTACAATCTCAAACAGAAAATATGACACTGATAACACATTGTTTAACTACTTACAACACACAATATATGCTTGATTCTAGAAGCTACCATTGAGAAATTTATTTACAGAGTGTCAAAATTATCTATGATATCCCACAGAAGCAAGTCAAGTCAGGAAGTACAGAAAAAGGACAAGTTCTATGCAATCAAAAGGCCATGAGCATGAGGTTAAAAGGAGTAATGAAAACTAAGCACAAAGACAGGAAATTATTTCCATTTTCCACTCACATTGTAGAGAAGAGAAGTTAACAAAAAATATAGTTGCAACTTTTTTCTGGTTTTATCTTTTGAAGTTAAAAACAGCACGGCATATATTTGCTTGCAAATTTTGTCTAGATTGATACTTGCTTTCTGTCATGCACCCTGAACTGATGTATATTTTGATATTTCCATTTTACTAGAAACTGCCTTTTTCATTCAATCCTCTCCACTTTCGAAAATTTCTGATCATCTCAATTATGTTAATGAGGGCTCAGTTTTGCTCTATTAACAATTCTATACACAATTCTAACTACTACAGATTTAGTAATACTACTAATTTAATAGATTATAAATCTGTTTCTTCATATCTATGGCCCCTGTTTTGCAAATTTATCATCACTGATTTACCTCCCAAGTCCTGAGCTCAACTGTCTCAAAAATTAGCAGAAGATCAAGTATTATTCCTATGACAAATGCCACATCAGGCATTTCAAAGTCATCTTTTTTTCAGGAATGAGATCTGACCCTCCCAACAAACACAGTAAATGTCTAAATTCTTATCCAGATTATGTGATTCTGTCTCCACAGACTTGTGAACCACTTAAGTCATAAGATGATCTTACACTGCTTGTACAATTTTAAGTCCTGTAAAAAGATTCCTGGGTCGTTGGTGGAATAACATGCCTTTGCCACCTACAGACTGAAACCAAAAAAAGCAATTTTAAAATTATATATGTTTTAAAGTACTCTATCACAGACTGTCATTAGGTAAGAAAGACCAGTTGAATCCCAAGACAGAAAATTAATTGTACACACCTGTGTATACATATATATGTATATATGTGTGTGTATACACAGTTTAGGATTAAGACATCTACAGGGTAAAAGTTCTTGTGTAGAGGCTAAATGTTCTCACATTTGTAGCACTATAAAGCTGTTGAATTGTTGGCAAAATTAAAAAAAAAAAAAACAAACGCTAACTTCTAGATGTGTTACAAAAGGTTTTTTAAACCATTAGTTTAAAAAAAAAAAAAGCACACAAAAAGATCTAAATCTTACATCTCCTAACCTATAAGATGCTTAAGAAAGGAGAAGATACTATAGAAAATACCGTGAGCAGCTCCTCCAACCACTCTTGGTGATCCCAAGCTTTTTTCCCTCAAGGGTACCTACCTTCTCCAACAGTGGGTTGGCGTTTTCCCTGAGCAAGGAGAGTGTCTCTTGAAGGCCCTTCCGCATGCACTCTTTCAGTTTCTCACAATATTGCATAGACAGCCATTTTGAAGAACAAGTCGACATGATTTCTAAGAGCTGTGAGTCCTCTGGACCACAAACGTCCTCCTTTTGCATGTGCCTTAAGAGAAAGTCCAGCAGAGTTAGGATGTCTTCCTCGAATCGATGCATTTCCAGCTGGGATTGCCTGGCTTCCTGCACCGCACTTTCTCTGCGGCTCTGGTCCAGACACGCCTGTAATTCTGCCTCCTTCTGAAGAAGCAGTTCCGCTTTTTGTTTCACAAAGTCTTCTTTAGCTGCCGCAAGCACCTCACTGATCTTACTGCGATGATCATCTAAAAACTGTCGGTAATCTTGCTCATTCTGTTCTTGAATTCTCTGGATTTCTTCTTGCTTCTTCCGGTTCCATTCATTCCAGGCCTTAGCCAGCTCGGTCCTGATAACCACAGGGACTTCCTCGTTCTTTAACTCTAGCTCCTTCTGCAAAGATTGGATCTTCTCTTCCAATTCCTTCGCTGGCATCATGGTTTTCTTCATATCTTCAAGCTCGCTTTTCCATTTCTCTTTTGCTTCAGACAGAGCTAAGGAGAGCTAAAAGGCACAACACCACCCATTTCAAAAGTCTTTATGATTCTCGTCATTAACAAAATTAAGTAACTATCTATCTGGGTTAACCTTATGAGGAACTTAAAATCAAAAGTAAAGGGAGCCAGATGCTGGTGGCTGATACCTGTAGTCCTAGCTACTCAAGAAGCTGAAATCTGTGAGGATTGCAGTTCAAAGCCAGCCCTGCTAGTAAGGTCCATGAGACTCATCTCCAATTAACCACCAGAAAACAGGAAGTGGCACTGTGGCCCAAAGTAGCAGAGCTCACAAATAGCACCCAGGCCCTAAGTTCAAGCCCCATGACCACCACACCACCACCAACAACAACAACAAAAAGTAAAAAAAATTACACTCAATGTCATTCCAAAAATATACTTACATTAGAATTAAGAATCATTTCCATTTTAAATCACCTAATTTTTTATATCCTATGTTATATACAAAACAAAGAAACACCCTTTTAATGGTGAACTAGAAATTGAAATGGCATATACATTTAAACAGTCATATATGTATAAGTTTTACATGTAATTAACTAAAATCTATTCCTTCTGGCATTTTTGTGCTGGTACTGGGGCTTCAACTCTGAGCCTAAGCACTGTTCCTTAGCTTTTGCACTCATACTTGGTGCTCTACCATTTGAGCCAAAGCTCTACTTCCAAATTTTTTATTTAGAGCTAAGAGTTTCATAGAGTTTCCTGCCAGAGGTGGCTTCAAGCAGGGATCCTCAGATCTTGGTCCCCTGACTAATAGGGGATTACATGTGCAAGCCACCAGCACCCAGCCTTTCATTTTATTTTTTGTCAGCCATGGGGCTTGAACTCTGGGTCTGGGTTCTGTCCATCAGCTCTTCAGCTCAAGTCAAGAGTTCTACCACTTGAGCCACAGAGACTCTTTCAGTTTTCTAGTGGTTTATTGGAGGTAAGTGTCTCACGGACTTTCTTGCCCAGGCTGCCTTTGAACCGAGATCCTCAGATCTCAGCTTCCTGAGTAGCTAGGATTACAGGGGTGAGGCACCCGACTAAGCCTTTCATTTAAAAATGTTTAAATTCATCATCCTACTTTATTGTAGAATGGGAAAACCTAAAATTTTAGTATAATCTATCATAAGACTTTATTATGTTCTTACTTTAAAAGAATCTATTAAGTTTTTAACTCATAGATAAGACCATCTCTGAATTCTATGTTGGACTAAATTGGAAACAATTATATTTCTGTGACTCAACTCTGAGTTATCTAATAGTCTATAATTCCTTTTCTAGAACACTAAAAAATGTCTAGTCCTTTCATTTTTCTAAATATTAGAATTACTAGGTCAACTTTCAAAGTCATTTTCAGTTTGCTGGCACTTTAATTAGAGTATTTAGACCAAGAAATTCAGTTTTAAGAGAGTACATGCGGTTACAACAGTGGAGTTTTCCTTTTAAGGAATATGAAGTTTCTGGAAAGGATAGTTGGCTATTTACCAAAGAGAAAATGCTGACATAGCACAGAAAAACCTTTACTCATGAGAAACATTATAGTACCAGCATTGGTGGCTCACAAACCCTCAGACCTGGAAAATAACGATTTGAAGCCACTCAGCTCAGACAAGTCTAATAGATTCTCTCTCTCCAATTAACCAGCAAAACAGCTGGATTAGAGGCATGGCTCAAGTGGTAGAATGCAAACAGTGAGCAAGAAATCTGACTGAGCTGGGTGCTGGTGGTTCATACCTGTAATCCTAGCTACTCAGAAGGCTGAGATCTGAGGAAAGCCAGCCTGGGCAGGAAAGTCTATGAAACTCATCTCCAGTAATGCACCAGAAAATCAGAAGTGGCGCTGTGGCTCAAATGGGAAAGTACTAGCCTTGAGCTGAAGAGCTGAGGGACAGCTTCCAGGCCCAGAATTCAAGCCTCATGACTGACCAAAAAAATCTGAGTTGTGAGGCCCTGAGTTCAAGCACATACACACAATAATAACAGATTACATAAAAACAGATGCACACCCGTTCTAATCAAACCAACCTAAAGTTACCTCTTGATAAAATGGGAATTAATTTCTAAATCAAAGTTAAGATGCTAAAATAACCAGGCATTGGTGGCTCCTGCCCAGAATCCTAGCTGCTCAGACTGATATCAGACGACTGTGGTTCAAAGCTAGTCCAGGCAGGAAAATAAGTGCAAATGCCCAGAAAAGGGAAGAAGCCAAGGAGAGGACCTGCTTTAGTTTCTTTCCAGGATGGTGCTTACCCGTTTGGCCACCAAGATGTCTTGTTGTTCTTCCCACTTCTTCTGTTCTGCTCTCACGTGGGCTTTATATTCTGCAAGCTCGGGCAGTTCTTCTAACCACCGATGACGAGCATTTTGCACAGCTGTTTCTACCTGTAGGACGTTGCAGGAGAAAAGACATAAGGAAGGGTATTGCAAATAGCTGCTCTACATTCCTACACTCTACTTTCCTTACAGTTACACTGACTTCAAGTGCTCTATCTTATCTCAAATAGACTCAATCCTCCTTCCCATACTGTCCCTTGAAAATGCAACAGGAAGTAGGATCTCTAAACATTTGATGAACAATACTAAAAGTTTCCTCCAAAGTACTGATTGTCACTTCCAACAAATTCTATTGCTCTTGAAGAAACATGAGAAGACAGGCCACAGCGCTGCTCTTGCCAGCTGCTGCCAATCACTAGACCCACCCTCTCCCCCTCACTTCTCATGGCCTACACACGCATGCATCCATATACCACTGGAGTTTAGAGTCTGACATCTGGCCAGTTTTCTGGCTGTCAAGAATGAGTTATTACAAAATGAGGGAGGAGGTCCCTTGGTTTAAGCCAAAATTGAAGGCTTGAGCTGATTATAAATCTGTCACCAACTATAAGATGACCACTTATTAAACTTTTTTCTTATTCTCTTTTCTTAAGAATATATACATATATATATATACATGAATACACACAGAGAATTGATATAACAGGTTTTATTTCTTACAAAAGTACTGAATAGCAGTACTTGTAAATTCTAATGAGTCAAAAATACACAGAAAAAATATAAATGCTACAGAAACATCATTATTACCTTATTTTAGTTCCTGGGGTTCTAGGGGTTGAACCCAAGGTCTTATGCTTGTCTACTGAGCTACATCTAAGGTTCCTATGGAAATTTATACCTCGTAAAAAGTTATTGAGAAACATCTACTTTGTTATATTATGCTACAATTGTATTCACAAGATACATAATTTCATAAATACCAAAGCAGTACCTTAAACATAGAACATTTTAACTTAGTAAACATTTTCAAAAATGATTTTTTAACTGGCTGAAGATATCCCTGAGATGAATGTATTTGGCTTATATTTCCGGACTTTAAAAGATGCCCCACAAAGTCAGGTAAAACAATGTACACAAGCAATTTTTTTTGTTGGTGGTGATGGGGCTTGAACTCTGGGCTTGGGCGCTGTCCCTCAGCTCTTCAGCTCAAGGCGAGCACTCTACCACTTGAGCCACAGCACCACTTCCAGTTTTCTAGTGGTTTATTGGAGTCTCACAGACCTTCCTGCCCAGGCTGGCTTTGAACCGTAATCCTCAGATCTCAGCCTCCTGAGCTAGGATTACAGGTGTGAGCCACGGGCACCCGGCTCAAATTTTAATTATTTCTTAAAAATTGAGTATATTTTTAAAGAAAGTACCTTACTTTAGGTACCATCTCATTCAGTTTATAATAAATAACACATCTAAAATAACATATATAATAGAAACCTTGCCAATGTGGTTGTTACGACAGATTATCGTCAAATAAGACACCAACTACATGTGTGAACAGCACAATTCTCCAGAAACTATCTGCTATATTAACAATGTAGTTGTGCTCTAACAGTCGACAGAATGTATGCTTGGATATTCTTGGTTTCAAAACAAACTCACAAAACCACAGATTCATTTTTCACCAGAGAATAGATATAATCTACACAACAAAGCTTTTCCATTCCTCAAAACATAAAGGAGTCCTGGGACTAAAAACCACTGAAGGATCACTAACAGTTAAGATGTAGCAGACAAGTCACTTTATTCTATTTAGAAAGGCAAGCTATATGCTTTTCTTAGTATGACATTTCTTCGAAGTCAAGTCACCTACCCGAGTTGTAAGCTGATTAGGGGAGCACTCTAAAGGGAAGGCAATGGCACCGCTTTCTGGCAAGTGGTAGGAACTACAAGTTCACTTGTGCACCTGCAGATTCTATACTGTGCATCTCAACACCATTGTATTTAATGGTTATTCACACAGGTTTATGTATCTGTCTGTAACATGACAAGACATGGGATGTCAAAGCTTCTTAGCTAAACTCTTCTTCATTCAGATATAAAACGACCATCTTTAACTCTGATCTCAGAGGAACAACACTTACAACTAAAGAATATACAGAAATGCTACCAGGGTGGCAGTTTCATGAAAGAAAAAAACTTTAGGAACATGGCAGGTTTCTAGAAAGGCTATTAAAGAAAAAAAAATTTTTTTTAAGTATAAACAAAAGTTCCAGGGTAGCATTTGAAAAGTTTCCTGGACAGTCCCAATTATTTTTAGTATGAAAAATCATTCTCATCACCTGTTTGGTAATATTTTCATAGTATTTAAGCTCTAGTTCACTTTCTAGTTTCTTCAAAGCCCCGTTGATAGCTATTTCCTTCTGTTGTTCTAAGTCTTGCTGGATCTTCTGTTTCTGCTTCTCTAGCAAGACTGCCATCTCAGCCTTGGAAAGGGTATCAGGGGTTGCGGCCTGGTCGGTCTGGATGCTACAGTCTGAAGTCTTCTTCCTCAGTGTCTTTAGAGTTTGGTCCACCTTAGACTGCCACTCCTTTTCCAGCTGTTGAATGAGGTTTTGTTTGATCTGTTTTCAGAAGAAAAATCGTCTGAGAAGAAAAACACTTGAGAAAAGTAAAATCTAGACTTGCTAGCCAAAAAGCAACCACAGCTGTGTTTGAAAACTAGACATTGTAGTAATAAGATTTAGAAATGCAGTCAATGAAAACATATTCCCAAGCACAACCTGAAAGTCTCTGTTTGACCTTAACTATGGAACAAAAAAATCACAGGGAAGATTTGATGGTGTTGTATAAGGTCTCTGGTGAATGCACAGCCAACTAGAAGAGCTAATAATGCCACCATGAAAATGGCATGGTTAAAGCAAAAACCACCAAAACCTTTTGGTAGTTGTGTTTTGCTGTCAGTATCACACTTTCCACAAAGCAGGCACTGAGTCACCTCATTAATGATCCTAGAATGGAATGATCTAAAAAAATACTTTTACTGACTTGAATACAATGGACTCTTATTTACGGGGCAGAGTTCATTCAAGGAGGAGTATTACTGGAAGAATATCTTTGGGGTTTTCTTACTTTCAAGAGTGTAGGCTTCCAGTCTTTGGTAAGACTGCTTCTAGGCAAACTTGCTTTTGTTTCTGTTCAACACCCCTTGAGTATTCATGGTTCTCAAACCACCTCCACAGCTACCAGATTAATGAAACTCACAACAATAGAAAATCTAGTTTAAATAAGAGAGCTTATCTTTTTCATTTCCCAATCAGGTTTTTAAATCATAATTTGATATTTAACTTTCTAAGAAAGAATTATTATTTCCTAATCTCATTTACTCCTTAGGTAAAAAAGTAAGCTTATGCCTCAGAGCCTGCTCTATTACATGAACGATTTTTGTGTATGTGTGGAGGCTTGAACTTGAACTTGGCCTGGATATTTGTCCCTTCCTTCTACTGCTCTACCACTTGAAACTCCAGTTTTGGCTTTTGGGGGGTTGACTAGAAATACGAGTCTCTGGACTTTCCTGAGCCACGATCCTCCAGTGTTAGCCTCCTGAGAAGCTAGGGTTACAGGTATGAGCCACTGGCACTAAGCTTGGCCTACTTGATAATGGCTTCATTTTGAACCAAAGCAGTATTCACGCCACCCCCCTCCCACCCAAAAAAAGAACCCTCTTATATCCTGAATGTGGATGAAGAGTCAAAAGAAGGTTCATTGTAAGTTGCTAATAACCTAATTCTGAAAGACACCACAAATGACTGGGTAGGTAGTTGCCAATTAAACATTTTATGTCTGCTTAGGAAGAACTGTCTTGCACAGTTAATATGGTTCTTTTTTTTAATGTGGTGATAAGAAAGATATTTTAACCCACACCTCTTTCCGTTCTTTATCCCACTGTGCTTTGGCTAACATCATTTCACTGTCAATCTGCTGCTTGATGCCAGTTTCTTGCTCTTTTATCCACTTGTTTTTTTCCAGCACAAGAGTTTCTTTGTACTTTTCTTCAAGTTCCAACTGCAATTTGCTTACTTGTTCTTCTTTTTCCTCCAATAATTGCCTCTTAAAAATAAAATTCAAGTAAGTACTACTATACAATAATACTAACAGCCTCTAAGACAATAATAATAATACATCTAAGCTTGTGTATTGTTTAGGAAAGGGGGAGGGGCGAGAAGCTGGATGCCAGAGGCTCACACTGTAATCCTAGCAACTCAGGATGCTGAGATCTGAGGGATTGTGATTTTTAAGCCATCCAGGGCAAAAAAGTTCATGAGACTCCATCTCCAAAATAACCGGCAAAAAGCCAGGGTAGATGTGTGGCTCAAGTGATAGCATGCCAGCCAAGCAAGCAAGCCCAGCAAGTATTAAGACTTAAACCCTGGTACCAGGGGTAGGGGAGAAGATCTACTTAGCTTGTATTGCAATTGAACAAATAAGATTTAACATGAAATATATGAATAGTATTATGAATGAGAATGTGCCTCATCTACAAATCCATATGCCTTCACTGATTACTGTAGAATATAAAGGGTTCTGTGTATGTCAAGAATTAGTGATGGGTACTGGTAGCCTATCTATAATCCCAGCTACTGAGGAGTCAGAGACTCCATCTCCAAAGTAACCAGCAAAAAGCTGGGCTGGAGGCATTGCTCAAGTGATAAGTACAACCAAGTATGAGCAAGTACACTAATTGAGAGTGAGACCCTGAGTTCAAAACCCAAGTAATAGAAAAACAAAAACTTGAGCCCAACAGCCCTGACTCAATAACTTGTTTCAGCACATGTGATACATGAAAATAAGCTCAGATTCTTGGTGCTATTTGTCATAGTAATTCTGTATGCAGTCTACATCCCTAATCAACGCTTGTCCACAAAGAAACATCCTATGTTCTGCAAGAAGTGACCCAAAAGTTCCTGAGTTTACTTTTGGGCTTCATATTATGCTGGGGGTGGAGGTTACTGTGAGAGACAGACATTTTCTAACAAACTGGTATATCTTTGTCTAACTCTGGAGCATAAGAAAATATTAAAGTCTAACTAAAAAGGTGTTTCACTTCTGACTGGTTTATCAAGATTCCAAAGAACTTACCAAGCTCTATAATAAAATGAACCAAAGCAAAAACGCAAACAATTCCCAGAGAAGGATAGAATTAATTCAGCTTCTTATGTTCTAGATACTCTGGCCCTTCGCATGAGGAGAATCCTTAGGATGATAAAATTGATCTGAATCCTGATGAATCTACACATGTATTCAAAATTTACAGCTACAAACCCAATGAAGGGTAAAAGTAAATTGTTTCCCATGATAATTTTAAGCTTTCAAAGGAAAAAAATTAACCTCTAAAGTTGTTTGTTTTTTGAGGGGGAGGGAGCCAAATAGTTATAATTTTCCTTCTTATAGTTATGCACAAATGTTTGTAAGCCAAAGTATGCAACAGCTATGAGTCATAACTTATTATGAGATCAATTTTATAGTCAAATTTATTCTTTTAAAGATACCCTAAAAACATAGTTCTGAAAAGAATGACCTCTTTGAGAGTTCTACTCTCATGTTCTTGCCAGTTTATCCATTCTTTTTAAAACAGTCATACTGAAGATCTCCCTATTTTATTTAAAGTGTTACTGACGGCTAAGTGCTCAATTGCTAGGATCTTTAAGATGCTTTTAACATTTATACTACCAACATGAACAAAAATAGGCTATTTCACAAGTTCTTTTTCATCCACAGATGGTACGGAGGATACCTGGCATATGTTCTCTCACCATATCCACTTCTCAAAAATAATCATAACATTAAACAAGCTGAATGTCTCAACTGCCTTTTGCTTTTCTCTTTAAGTCTGTGGTGGCAATACCCATGCCTTAATATAACTTACTGAAAAACCTCTGTATGGAACATTTACTCAAGCCTTCAAGATTTAACACTTGAAGCCTGAGGCAGGTGGCTTTCAAATTGTGGTCTGCAGAATGGTCCTAGCCATCATCAGAAGGCCACCTTGGGAAGTACTCCCACCCACACAGGGAAGGAAGAGGCTGGCTCTTGTCCCCTGGTGATTTTTGTCCTGGATGCTCACCAAGGGCAGCTTGGAATATCCAGAGTTAGAATTAACCGCCAAAAAAAGCTGTGGCTCAAGTGGCAAAGTGCTCGCTGTGAGAGGAAAAAGCTCAGGGATGGAGTACAGTCCCTAAGTTCAAACCCCAGGACTGGCATACAAAAAAACGGGTAGGGCTCAAGCGGTTGAATATTTGCCTAATAAGTGCCCCAGGCCCCAAGTTCAAACCTGAGTTCTTTCCCTAAAAGAAGCCAACACTAACACCCTCTCCTCCAGAGCCTCCTACCCATCATGAGACCACATGCAAATTAAAATAACAATTAGTTATCAGAGAGAAATGCATCCAAGGAAAAGATTTCTGGAAGAATATTCTGGTGACTTTTTTTTTTTTTCAAAATCTCTGTGTAACGCTCACAGAACTAAGTAGGGTTTCACGAGCAGCTGACAAATGCACTTAAAAAAAAAAAAAAAGATGTAAGCTGGGAGCTGGTGGCTCAGACCTGTAATCCTAGCTACTCAGGAGGCTGCGATCTGAAGATCACGATTCAAAACCAGTCCAGGCAAGAAAGTCTGTGAGACTCATCTCTAATTAACCACCAGAAAACCAGAAGTGAATAGAGCTGGGGCTCAAAGTGGGAGTACTAGCTTTGAGCAAGAGCTCAGAGACAAGTACCAGGCCCTGTGTTCAAGCCCCATGACTGACAAAAAGCAACAACAACAAATGCAGATCCATGGGTTTTAGACTGAGTCGATCCACTCTTATCTTCCAGAATAAATCTATAAGAAAATACCATTTTCGTCTCTATGTATGTCATTTTCTATAAAGGCTTTTTGGTTTGGTTAATTTCTTGTTTGTGGTACTGAGGTTTGAACTGGGGGTCTTAGGCACTTACTAGGCAAATATTCAACCACTTGAGCCCTAGTCTTTTTTGTGTGCCAGTCCTGGGGTTGGAACTCAGGAACTGCACTCCATCCCTGAGCTTTTTCGATCATGACTAGCACTTTACCACTTGAGTGAGCCACAGGTCCACTTCCAGCTTTTTTGGTGGTTAATTGGAAATAAGAGTCTCACAAGCTTTCCTGCCCAGGTTGGCTTCTAACGCTATCCTCAGATCTCAGCCTGCAGTGCCATTCCCTTTTTGCTTTAAGCTATTTACTCATTTTCTTTTTAGGTGGAGTCTTGTATTTTTTCTCAGCACTAGCCAGCCCAGCACTGATTCTGCCACTTCCAGCCTCTCTCTCCTCTCAAGGGTGATAAGCACACACCTTCATATCCAGCTTATTTGGTAGAGATGGAGGTCTCAAAAACTTGTTGCTTAGGCTGCACTCAAACTCCAGATCCTCCCAATCTCTATCTCTCTTGTAAATGGGTACAGGAATAAGCCACTATTCTCTATCTTCCATAAAGGTTTTAATACTTATTATAATATTTACAGAACTGTGTGAGCTATAGTGGTACTATATAGCAAAAAGCAGAGAGACTTCCATGAATACCTTCCCTGTGAACTTCCCCACGCCAAGTAATTAAATGACCAGTACCAAGGCCTGGAGAAGGGAAGTGATACAGAAAAGCCTTAACCCTGTATTGGTACCATACCTTCTGCTCCTGAGCCTGCTGTTCCTTTTGAATGGTCTCCCTGAGAGTAGATTCTAGATTATCCTTCTCTCTGCACACTTCCAGGTAACATTCCTGTACAGTGGCCATCTCCTTATTCATTTTATCTAGGTCAGACCTTTGACAAATAAAGCCAACAAGTAAATGACCACAAGACAAGGGCTGTATAATGATTTTCCTCCAGACTAAGGGCCAGGAGAAAGTCATCTTTACAGTTAAAGGGGAGCCAACCCTTTTGAGTCTCACCTGAGTTGCAAGTGAGTCCCCTCATACACCTCTAAAAGCTGCTGCTTCTCCAAAGCATGCTTTGCTAACAGGCTGTCCCGTATTTGGGCTTTCATAGCTTCGTGGTGCTGCTGGTATGTCCTCTCACACCTGGCAACAGAAAGCAGAGTCTTAAAGCAATGCTGGGCATTACTAGAAACAGACTAAAACAAATTGCTTTGCTTCTTTCCTTCCCACTTTGCTTCCTTCCTACTCTCTACTGCAAATTAATAACAGATTGCTTTCCTCTAATCCAAAACAATAATAATTCATTTACAACCAATGATTATTTATGAGAAATCTTCAAATTTTTCTTTCTTCATGTTTCCAGAGGAAAAAAACCAGATCCTTGGATGAGAGAATATCCCAGAATTTCAGACAGAATTGTTTCTATTGAGAACTTCTAAGCAATTAATCAAAACAATCAAGGGTGTGGCTCCAAAATTCCACGTCATATGTATTAAACGCAAATACTAGAAGTATCCAACTCACAAGTAAGTTATGTTCCAAAAGCCTGTCTCAAAGCTTATGATTTGGTATTTGGAAGACATGTTTCCTCCCACAAATTTCTTCTTTATAAAATTTCCCAGATTAGTCTTTTTTTTTTTTTAAGAAAGAAAGCATAAGAAAAGCCAGAACGAAACCAAATCAAACACTAAGCATTTGAACTACAATTCTGAAAGTGCCACAGAACTCAATCCACTTCACAATAGTGTTCCTACAGAAAAATTCTAATCTGAGAAGCCAGACATCTCTGACAATCCAAGGTCCAATGAGGAGTTTACCTAGCACTTTCTTAAAATCTTTTTATGGGGCTGAGGAGTAAACTTGAGAGAAGAAAAGGCCCAAGGAGACAAGCATCAGGCATCTACAGTAGACCTTACCTATCTATAACTTCTTGCTTATCACGATCAAAGTCCTGTACCATTTGTCTCATTTGATTACATAAGGCTTGATTTGTAGTTTTCAGTTTTTCTTCAGCTTCTTTAAGTTCCTAGACACAAAAATTTCAAAGTATTTAGAGGAAATTAAAAATCATTTTTATAGACTAGTCTAACTTCCATCATCTTAATATCTTTCTGGGCTTGATTTTTGCTAACATTGAGACAATCTCATTGTCATCATAATACAAAACCAGAAAATCTCATACCTTGCTAACAACATACATATACTTCTTTGATTAAATAGCTTTCTGATAGGAGTTAATATTTTCTTATTTATTTTGAAATATTTACTCTTCTTTGATTAAATAGCTTTCTGATAGGAGTTAATATTTTCTTATTTATTTTGAAATATTTTGAAACATTTAATCACAGGAGCAAAAATGTAAATCTTAGAAGTTAGCAATCTTTTGTAACCATCTAAATAAGCAAAGTTTTCCTTTTTGGCCAAGTGATGGCTACAGACAAAAGGATATCTCTATTAGCCATGGAAATAGAAATTACACAAACCATCCAATGAAACTGTACCCAAATCTCCAAGTAAAGGGAAATATACACAGAGTTGTCTACTCTTTTTTTTTTTTTTTTTGTTGGTCGTGGGGCTTCAGAGTTGTCTACTCTTATATCTTAAAATTCTTATCCTATCTTAAAAATGTCTATTTTTAACCTTTGTAATTAAGTCATGAAAATTCTGTGTGTGTGTCTGTCTGTCTCTGTCTCTCTCTCAACAGTCCTGGAGGGCTTAGACACTATCCCTGAGCTTTGAGCTTTTTTGCTCTACCACTTCAGCCACAGCTCCATGTCTGGCTTTTGTGTGTGTGTATAGTAGTTAATTGGAGGTAAGACTCTCATTCCTGCCCGGGCTGGCTTCAAAACTCAATGCTCTGATGGCAACCTCCTGAGCAGTTAGGATTATGGGTGTGAGCCACCAATACCGAGCTACAGGACATTTTTAATTACCTGGTTTTGTTGTTGTAAAGCCTGAACTTCATTTCTAAGTTGCAAAATGTCATCTTTAGCAATCACATCAGAAGAGGAAGCATCAAGTCCTAAATGATTAGCTGGTTTTTCTGAGGTATCTGTTTTAGGCTAAATATTAAAAAGAACACAAAAATTCCTTTGAAATAATTTCATACTTACAAAAGTTATAACTTAGCACAAGTAATTCCCACATACCTTTGATTCATCTTCCTAAAATATAACAGATTACTCAAACCAACTAGCAAACACAATGAACATGGATGCAAACATAAACAACTGGTTTACAGACCCTCTACAAATGTCTCCAATTTTCTTCTAGGCCTTTTCAAGCCAGCCAGTCATAGTCCAAGATGTGTCTGGAAAGGGCTTCTAACAGTTACTTTCACTTGCATTCTTCTTTCCCTCCAGAGTGGGATCCTCTTTCCTGCTCTGTCCATTTTAGACTCATCTGCTTAAATAACTTCCCACACTTCCCCTCGTCCATCAGAATGTTCATATCTATTGTCAAAAGCTCCTTCTAGGGGTCACAAAATTTCTAATGCTCATACTTTACCTGATTTGTTGCTGGTGTATATGTTTACCTGGTTCTAGAGCTTCTATAATGTTTGGCAAATAACCTATACCAGTGTTCCCTCCACCTTGGGTGAGGGTAGGTATTACTATCTCTTGTCCACACAGGGGAAGACCACCCAGGCTTCGGCTCAGACCAACTCACAGCAAAGTAGCCGTCTTCCCTTTCTATCCTCAGCCTTTTTTGAGATCTGGAGAAGGAAACTAATGAGATTCTTAAGATCTTACTCATTGTAACAACTTTATTTTTTAAACAGCCTCCACTTTCTAAAATTTATGACACTCCCTTATGTTTCTTACAGATTGGGGAGTTTTAATTACTGATACTAAAAATAGCATCTATTGATACTGAAAGCCTCTATTTACGACCAGATTTTATATACTGAGTTATGACAGATCACCATGCAACAAGCACACAGGCACTGGGTACTTGGACTTCTCAGCACAGCACCTTTAAGATCTTTGCAAAGGGAAAGATCACTTGAGTATCTCAACAAAATTTCCTAAAGGTGGCATACTGAGCACACAACCCTCAATAACAACAATAACAACAAATAATAATAATTTAATACAAAAACTGTATGCCTTTTTAAAAGGATTGTAGATGAAACGTTCTGAGCTGGCTACTGAACATTGCCTATAGAGGTGTCTGAAATCCGTGTATAACTTTAACCTCAAACTTGAGATATAAGGCAAAGATCTTTAATAGGGATCACACACACACACACACACACACACACACACACACACACACACGCGCGCGCATGCACGCACGCACGTACGCACGCTTTTGGGTTTTTTTGTTGTTTGGGGTTTTTTTGGTAGGTCATGGGACTTGAACTCTGGGCCTGGGTGCTGTCCCTCAGCTCTTTAGCTCAAGGTGAGTGCTCTACCACTTGAGCCACAGCACCACTTCTGGTTTTCTGAATGGTTTATTGGAGATAAGAGCCTCACGACTTTCTTGCCCAGGCTGGCTTTGAACTTTAATCCTCAGATCTCAGCCTTCTGAGTAGCTAGGATTACAGGTGTGAGCCACCAGCATCCAGCTCATTTATTATATTCATTAAAAAATTAGTGTGGATATGACAACAATCTAGTTTTTCTAAGACCTTTACCACAGTTTCCTTTAATAGGCCAGTTGTCAACTGTAGTGAGTGGCATCATAATATCTGCTCTACTTCCCATCATTGCAATCTCTCAGTTTTCATTGTGAGAGTAAAACCAGAGCTGCATATTCTGGCTTTATTCAGAAACAATTTTACAACTATAAATGATGTTCCTGGGCAAAATTTCAGCTTTTAAATTAACCACTATTATGAAGTCCTATGACAAGAAAGGAAACCTTAAAACTCTGAATTTTAAATTGCTCTATACACAAAAGTATGTAAAAGATATATCAATATTATTATTGTTTATATTAATAAATGCAAAGCAGTCTATATGGTAAAGATTTTTATCCTGGCTGCCTTATTTCTCAGAATGCATCCTTCAAAATACTTGAGCGGGGGCTGGGAAGGTGGCTCAGTGGCAGAGCGCTTGCCTTGCATGCTTGAGGCCCTAGGTTCGATTCCTCAGCACCACATAAGCAGAAAAAAAAAGCCGGAAGTGGCGCTGTGGCTCAAGTGATAGAGTGCTAGCCTTGAGCTGAGGGACAGCACCCAGGCCCAGAGTTCAAACCCCACCACTGAGACAATACATACATACATACATGCTACCGGAAAGTCTGTGAGACTTTGATCTCTAACCATCCAAAAACCGGTAGTAGAATTATGGTTCAAAGTAGAAGAGCATTAGCCTTGAGCATAAAAGCTTAGAGACAATGCCCAGACCCTGAGTTCAAGCCCCACAATGGACAGAAAAAAAAAATGCTACCTGAGGCAATTTAAACAGATTTGGTCTTTCTCTGAACAGATTTTCCTATAACAGAGACATTTGATATCATCTTTTCAATATTAATTTTTTTTGTGCCATTACTAGGCCTTGAACTCCGCCTGGGCACTGTCCTAGGTAGTTAATTGAAGATGAGAATCTCATGGACTTTTCTGTCTGGGCTGGCTTCAAACTGTGATCCTCCGAACTCATCCTCTGAGTAGCCTGGATTACAGGCATGAGCCACTGATACACCTCACTAATGAGCATTCTTTATAAAAATAAACATTGAGACATCTACATCTTTTTGGCCTTTATTAAGAGTTCAGACAGGGTAAGCTTGTAGTTGCATATTTACTCCCTAATCCCAACTGCTTAGTTGCTCTATGCTTCCATAGATTTATCCCCATGGCTGAAATTTTGTTTCCCACTTCCTTGCCTAGATTCTGTCATTCAGGATGAAGAAGTTCAACATCCAAGGGCAAGCAGGGACAGTTCTTCCTTTCAGCTTCACTACTTCTAAAAGGGTCAAATGAACCTCTGAAAGCCAAAGGCTGAAGTTGAATGTTCAAAGTGCAGAAGTTTCTTTCCTGGCATCTCTTTGCAATGACTGCTTTAACTCTCCAGAAGGTACAAACCTCTAGCCTGGTGCTTTTATCCTCCTCCTTCACTTGTTGTAGCTCTTCGATCATCTTCCGACAATCCTTGAGGTCATTCTGTAGCTGAGACACTAGATGGCGCTTCACTGAGTTACTCCCCAATAGTTGCTGCACTTCGGCCTTCAATCTCAGGATGATGTCATCTTTTGAAAGCTCCTCTGGGACCTCTGGATGTACAGGGCTGAGGGAGAAATTGTGGGGTTAAATCAAGGAACGGCTCACACATGGTTCTTCCTTTGAAGCTCTGACCACCGTGGTGACCATGTTTTTCTACCTATATACTAGTATGGCAAAACAATTTTATTAAGCTTATTTATTCATTTTACTTTATTTTGTGGTGCTATGGATTAAACCCAGGGCCTCACACTTGCTAGGCCAAGTGTTCAACCACTAAGCTACTGCCCCACAAATATCTGTTTTTGTTTTTGTTTTGTCGGTTGTGGGGCTTGAACTCTGGGCCTGGGCGATGTCCCTGAGCTTTCAGCTCAAGGCGAATGCTCTACCACTTGAGCCACAGTGCTACTTGCCCCACAAATATTAAGGGAGGAAAAAAGAATACTATACACCAGTCATACTAACCAACCATTGGTGTTATCTATCCCCAGCCCATACCATCCCATCTCTCCCTCCCTTCTCTTTCCCTTTCTGACTCTCTCTGCCTCCCTTTCTATCTCTACTAGCAACTAAACTGACAATTAAACCTAGAGGCTCATGGGCACTGGTAGCTCAGGCCTGTAATCCTAGCTACTCAAGAGGCTGAGATCTAAGAATTCCAGTTCAAAGCCAACCCAGGCAGGGAAGTTCCATGAGACTCTTATCTCCAATTAACCACCAGAATACTGGAAGTGGTACTATGGCTTAAAAGTAGTTGAGCGCTAGCCTTGAGCAAAAGAGCTCAGGGATAGTGCCCAGGCCCCAAGTTCAAACCCTATAACCAAAAGAAAAAGAAAAAAAACCTAGAGACCCATGCCCATATATCACTTATACCATAGCACCCCCTAGCCCTTTTATGTTTTGTTTGGGGAATTCAGTCTCACTAACTTTGCCCAGGCTGGCTTCAAGTTTGATTTAATTGTCTGCCTCCAAAGTAGCTAGTATTATACACATATGCCACTAAAAAAATGTTTATTTACTCTTCTTTAATTTTAGGTGATTCTATTGCACATTTATGAAAAGAGAGAATTAACAAAAATATTGGGTTTGTCTGGGGTTTTGTTTTTTGTTTTTGTTTTTGCCCAACCTGGGGCTTGAACTCTGGGACTAGGTATTGTCTTTGAACTTCTTTTGCTCAAGGCCAGTGTTCTACCACTTGAGCCACAGTGCTATTTCTGCTTTTTTTAGTAGTTTATTGTCCAGGCTAGCTTTGAACCACAATCCTCAGATCTTAGCCTCCTGAGTAGCTAGGATAGCAGGTATGAGCCACTGGTGCCTGGCTTTGGTAGATTTTTTTTAAAAAAATATCATATTATAGATGATATACATAATGTATATCATCTAAGTATACCTGTGTATACACAAATATATATAAAGATATAGACATATCTGTACATGCATGCATACATAAAAACTCAAACCACTCTCTTCCTCCAAAAGCAGATATAATTTCAGATATCATTGCATAAGAAATAAAATACAATACAATGTATCCTCATACACTGTCAGATGTGGTGAACTAGTGCTTACTTCCTGATTTCTGCTTGAATGCTGACTGCAGAACTAGCACACCCTGTCCTCCTAGAGGTGTAGCCAAGTTAGATGGCAGAGAAAGTGCTTGTTAAATAACTTTGTCTTCTTTTCTCAAAAAGGAGTGTGGAGCGGTGGGGGGAGAGCAGGGCTGATGACCAGCCCTGCGTTAAGGCGCGCTCATGGGGCCCTGTGGAAGTTGGATCCCCTAAATCCAAATAAACTGTGGTCCCTTATGAAGCCTGCTGAGAAGACCAAAGGGAAAAGGCATTCCACTTGTTAAATGTTTATTATTTGAGTTTGGCAGCCAACTATAATAAGGGAGAGAGGAAACTGTCTGCAAGCTGCATACAGATTTAGCTACTCAAATTCCATGAATGTAAAATAGAACGTTGAGGCTAAACCCTTAAATTTTACTAGGTGGTAGTTTAAGGGACAGGGTAGGCGGGTGATAAAAGCTGCACTGGGTATTTGGGTCAGCTCAAGTTAACAAAGAACTAAAATGCTCAACACGGGAATCATTAGCTCCCTTTTTTTCTTACGATCAGTCTATCAGAGTAAAGGCATCAATCTTTTTCTTTCCCATCTCCTTTAAATTTGATCTGAGAATAAATATTTTTCATTTTCTCAATGCTGAATTATCATCTATTAAACCACTGGTGGGTGGAATAACTATAAGCTATGTGTTGCTTTCCTTAAAATTGTCTTTTTCCTGGATGTCTTATTGCTGAACCCCAACAACTAATCACTCTGATTTGTTTTTCTCTACTTTCTCAGTTGAACAGGCCAGTCATTTCTTTTACTATAATTATACAGATGTGCTATCTCCAGTTTGTTCATACTTCAGAATGACCTAAGAACTATCGTTATGAATGCTGAGTAACAAGAAAGTAAAAAGTAGCTAGTTATGGTAATGCACACTTGTAATCTCAGCACTCAGGAGACTGGAGCAGGTGGATCATGAGTCTGACTGGCCAGACTGGGCTACAAAGTAAGATATATCTGAAAAGAAAAAAAGAGGATTAAAAAAGTAGTAGAGGACAGGTACTGGTGGCTCACACCTGTTAATCCTAGCTACTCAGGAGTTCTGAAGATTGTGATTCAAAGCCAACCCAGGCAGAAAAGTCCATGAGACTCTTATCTTAGAAAATGCCTGAAGTAGCGCTAACTTGAGCACAAAGAAGCTCAGGGGCAGCGCCCAGGCCCTGAGTTCAAACCACAGGACCAGCAAAAAAAAAAAAAAAAGAGGAGGAGGAGATAAGAAGAGGGAAGGAAAGTAGATCGTGATGAAATATTTAATAAGCTGAGTGTATGTGTGTGTGTGTGTGAATGGCTATGTATATATACTCAATTCCAAGGCCAATCATGGCACAAACTAAAAAAGTTAAATGACTACCTCAAAGGGCACAAAGAATAAAGTTTAAGGCCAAAAGATATGCCTGTCATATAAACGGGTCTAGTTTGGGAGAGAGGTGGAAGGGGTTGGGGTTCAGGTGTTATCCTGTTGCTGTGGTCTTCTTGAGCAAAGTGTTTCACCTCTCTGAGCTCTAGTTTTCTCAGCTTTACCTAATACTGGAGCCAAAATATGTCACAAGACTGAGAATACAAAACTTTTTACCAAGTATGTGTTGAATGATGGATGCATGTTTTCAGATGTTTTTCTTTTTTGTTTTGAGATTGATTTTTGTTCCTGGAGTTTAAACTTGGGACTTTATGCCTGCCACTTGCGTCATTTCCCCCCATCCAACCCACCCCAGTCCTAGGTATTGTGCTTTCAACACATAGGGATAAATATTAAAAGATAATATGTATGTATCCTAATTGCTAGAACAGATCATCTCAGTTTTTAAATTTACTTTGTGCAATTTCAATACAAGAATCCACCTTTTGCCTTTGTTTTTTGGGTTTGTTTTTTTTTTTTTGGTTGGGTGTAGAGCTTAAACTCAGTGCCTGGGTGCTGTCCCTGAGCTCTACCACTGTCCCTGAGCGCTCTACCACTTGAGCCACAGTGCCACTTCCCACCTTTTGCCTTTCTGAAACTGATATTTCTATATTGGGCAAAATACAGTATCAATACTGTAAGAATTGGTAATGCCTTACCAGGCACTAATGGCCCATGACTATAATCCTAGCTACTCGGGAGACTGAGATCTAAGCATTGAGGTTTGTTAAAAGCAAGTCCAAGCAGCAAAGTCTTCATGATTCCAGCCTCGAAGTAACCAGCCAAAAAAATGCTAGAACTAGAAGTGTGCCTCAAGCAGTATAATGTTAACTGTAACTAAAAGACCCAAAAGAGAGCAAAAGGCCCTAAGTTCAAGTCCTACATACACACCAAAAAAACAATTTAGAAATGCCTCTAAACCTAGATACTCGGAGGCAGAAACAAGAGGATCATAGTTAAGGGCCAACCTGGGTAAAGTTAGCTTGAGACTTTATCTGAAAAATAAACATAAAAACAAAGAAGTAAATATACAGACAAAAAAGCAAAAGGACAGGAAGAAGTATAGTTTTAGTGGTAGTGTTCGCAGGCAGGAATCTTTCAGTTCAATCCCTAGTATCACTCATACAGAAATAAATGCCTAAAGAGCATGCTCTCCACATTAAAAAAAAAAACCTGATCAGGTCATTGTTCCTACATGGGAACACCTTTTTACCACGGTCACACTATTAGCATAGACTCTACACTAAACTATTCATTCAATACCTGTTAACTTTGGATTTTTTCCAGCTGACGTTCTTAATACCCAGATCCACATATGATTCCATGAGTTCTACATTTAATTCTCCCTCTGAGTCACCTGGAAGTATTCCCAGCTTTGCAGCAGATTCATAAAGTGAAATCTCATTTCTCAGTTCTGTTAGTTCCTCCTAGAATACAAAATTATTGAAAATAATTTTCTTCCTTTTCCTAGCTGAAGAAACCAATCATTCTAATGTTTCAAAATTTTATCTTAATGATCACTAGAAAGTAGAAAAATTTCAAATCCACTATTATGACCATGCATTCTCAATAACCTCATAAAAGGTGGGGTGCCGGTGGCTCATGCCTGTAATCCTAGCTCTCAGGAGGCTGAGATCTGAGTTCTGAGATCTGGTTCAAAGCCAACCCAGGCAGGAAAGTCCATGAGACTTTTACCTCCATTAACTACCAGAAAACCAGAAGCGGTGCTGTGGCTCAAGTGGTAGAATGCTAGCCTTGAGCTGAAGAGCTGAGGGATGATGCCCAGACCCAGTTCTAGACCCATGACCAGCAAAAAAAAAAAAACTCACAAAAGCCAACCTAATTAGGTTTCCAAACAAACAGAATGGATGCATGGGAGGAGAATGATTGACTGATTGGATGGATGGGAAGGATATGGAGGGATGGAGGAAATGGAGGCAGTTTCTCATACCTCTATCCTTTATATTTCGTCTTCTGTTAATATTGTCCCTCAAGATGAGAGGCAAAAGCCACTTTTTGGCCTACTACAAATACTACAATAGAAGACAAACTATTCGGTTTGCCAAGAACATGCTATCTTTTAGCCTGCCAGGATGAACAAGCAAAATTCCTCAGAGGTAATCCTTGAATTCTTTCTTCTGCAGGGTCTCCTCTCTCATTTCAGTGGAAAATGTAAATAACCTGGGAAATGGGGGCAGGACGGGAGAGAGAGCTAAATTAAAATTCCCTACACCTAAGAATAACCTCTGTCTGGCATACACCTCTCCAGATGTCTGACTGAAGGAGGTGGTGGGCAGACTGGCAAGAGAAGAGCAGAGCCCTGGCTCTGCCATTGGCTTCAATACCCAACAGCTGGTTTGAGGATGATTCTGCTACCTCTAGGACATAGAGGAATCAGAGATTGAAAAAGGTGGTGTCACTACTGCCTAGTTTGGTCCCATGGCCTCTTGTAAGTGCTACACTCACTTGCAAAGCCTTGTTCATGTTTTCGCTCATAGTATGTGCCTTTAGTGCTTGCTGCAGCTGGAACTGAAGCTGGGCCACCTCTTGTACGGAGCCTGCAGAGGAGAGAAAAAATGTAGAATACAGTAAATATAAGGGGACAAAGTACCCACAATCCATACAACGGAAGTCCACTGAGGCGACAGAAGGTGGGGTTCTGTTTTATTACCAGTCTGTTTAGGGGCATAAAGGTAAATCTATCAAATCTATGTCCAAGATCTGGCACGAAGGCAGGCATGGTGACTCAAGCCTGTAATATTTGCTACTTGAGAAGCAGAAATCAGTTCAGTGTCAACCCTGCATAAAAGTTCCTGAGAGTTCATATAAAGCAAGGTAAGCACAATGGCTTGGCTCAGTGGTATGCACCTGTCACAGGATGACAGCAATGCAGAGAGGTACAAATAGGCGGCTCACAGCCCAGGCCAGACACTACGGTAAAAATAACCACTGCAAAAAAGGGTGTGGCTCAGTTGCTAGATCACCTGACTAGCAAGCCCGAGGGCCTGAGTTTAAGCTACCACACTGCCAAAAATAAAAATAACATATTTAGTATGGTGCCCTGCCCTGTGTGTCCTTGGGCTCCTGTGACCTTGTTATGAGTTGGGCTAGTCAGAGGAACAGAACTTACAACATTTATTTTTCAGTTTTACATATGCCTTTCATTTAGTACATTTCAGAAATACGCTGAATACAAGGCAGAGCACTGTCTATGCACACGTTAGTTGAAGAAAATTGTTCATGCAGACATTAACAATACCTACTTCTAAGCAGTATAATGGATGGTGATTTTTATTTGCTACGTTACATTTTTCTTGCATTTTCCAAAATACCTAATAAAAATGAGCTATATATGTATATAACAATGTTTCAACAAAAAACCAGAGCCAGGTGCCAGTGGCTCATATCTATAATCCTAGTATTCAGAAGGCTGAGATTTGAGGATCTCTGTTCAAAACCAGCCCCGGTAGGAAAGCCCATGAGACTCTTTATCTCCATTAACTACCAAAAAGCTGAAAGTAGAGCTGTGGTTCAAGTGGTAAAGTGCTAGACTTGACCACAAAAGGGACAACATCGAGGCCTCAAGTTCAAGCCCTAGGACCAGCACCAAAAAAATTAAAAAGCAGCATAAATGGTCAGTTTGGTTTTCTCTGTCCCTGTATGTTCTCTCTGCATATCATAGTAGTTTTGTTTGGTTTTTTTTAAGTGAGATTTAAATTTACGGCCTTGTGCTTACTAAGCAGATATTCCACCACCTATCCCTTTTTGCTTTATGTTATTTTTCAGATGGGATCTCCTGACTCTTCACCAGCCTCAGAGATCACAATCCTACCAATGCTCCTGGTTAGCTGAGAGTAGAGGTACACAGTGTCAAGCCCAGCTTAATGATTGAGGTCTACGCTAGCCTCATCAGCCCAATAACTCTCTCCCTAGCTCTTTGAAGAGATATAAGCCCACAAAGATACCCACCTGACTGCAACAAGCTGGCACACTGGGTCTGACTCTCCTCTAGGCTTCTCGTCAACCTGGTAATGATCTCCGTCTTCTCCAATCTGACTGCTTCTTGATTCCTTTCCAGTTGTTTTACCTGATCTTTCAAATGAGTGCAAATATCTTCCTACACAGAAAGAAGTCATGTTGTGACCAGCTCTAACACACACTAAATTTTGATAGGGCAAATGCACAAAGGCAGAAAAACACACATATGATCTTGGGTGAGGCTCAACTTCTCAGTCTCTTTCTTTTGCAATATTGCTAATAAAGAATGAAGGAGATGACTTCCAAAGTCCCCTTCTAGTCCACATTCACGAAATGCTGTTATTCTAAAATTAGATTTATTCCTCCAAAGGGAATGTTTGCCTTATTTGCCTTTCATGCTGTCAGTATCAATGTAGGTAGGGACACAGATGTAAGCAAATCCATTTGAATCATGGAGTTTTTATCCCAATCCAGCAAGGATAGAGGTCACCTCATGGAAACTTATTCTAGTCTGAGAAGTCAAAAGCTCATTCTGTTCAGGACTTAAGAGTAGCCAAAAATGTCCTGTCCTTCCTCTGAAATTCATTTAAATTGAATCTATTTCTTCTATTCTCATTCTACGTTAGACACATCTTATTCCTCTTTTCTGTCTCCTCAAAGGAGTCTGCAATGTTTTAAACACAGCAAGTGCTTCAATAAACACTTGACAGATGACAAAACAGTAATCGCTTGTTTGTGCCAGTGTGTGTGTGGAATGTGGGGCCAGAGATATAACTCAACGGTAGCGTGTGTATCTATCATACGATTCAATTCAGTTCAATCCCCAGCACTACAAACCAAACAAAACCCCACAAAGATGGACAGATGTTTGGGAATAATGAGCCATGAGAGTCTGGAGGCCAGGTAGAAGAAGCGATCAGTGGAGAGTGCACCTACTCTCATCCAACTCTGCAAGCCTATGCAGAGCCCAATAAACTGTGCCATACTCAGCTTAAAAAAAAAAAGGCCCCTGCAGTACTAGCATGTCTGTGCACATGCCATGCACACATATGCTCACACACTCACACACACACACACGACTGAAATATGCTCAAATTTCAGATTAAAAGGAATTTAGACTTTCTTTCCTGCTTTATAGATCGAGTATCCCTAATCTAAACTCTTTGATTTTGTGCAAATACATAATGAGATTATCTTGGGGATAGGACCCAAGTCTAAACATGAAATAAATTTTGTCTCATACATACATTATATATGACCGGAAGGCAACTTCATACAGTATTTTAGTGGCCCTGCATGACAGAGACCATCAAAATGAGGTCAAAATCTTCCAGTTGAGGTGTCTCGTCAGCCTAATGGAATATATTGGAGTTCTGGTTTTTAGATTAGGAATATTCAACCTGTATTCTCAAAATTGTTTTCCTAAGTACCATTTCCTTAGGCAAAATACCAAAGGCCAGGAGATGCAAGGAGAGCTCCCAGAACAACGGCCCAGATTCTGGCCAGCCTGCAGTATACTCCATCCTTCCAGGATGCTTCATTCTCAGACAACATGAGCAACTAGTAACACAGGAACTAAGCAAGTATTAACCAAGTAGAGTTTCAAAAGTATACTATTACCTGAGCACTGGTGGTTCAACCTGTAATCCTAGCTACTCAGGAAGCTGAGATCTTAGGATCACAGTTCAAAGCCAGCTCCAGTTCAGGCAACAAAGTCTGTGAAATTTATCTCCAATTAACCGCCAGAAAACTGGAAGTGGAGCTGTGGCTCAAAGTGGTAAAGCGCCAGCCTTGAGAGCAAAAAGCTTAGGAACAGCGCCCAGGGCCTAAGTTCATGCCCCATGCCTGACCAAAAAACAAACTATATCTACTACTCAAGATCTATTTACAGATTTTTTTAATTGGCTTTTAAGTTTCACAATCTAAACACCTTGTAAAAACATCCAGATTTCTGTTTGAGGAGTCACAAAGTATCAGTGACAAAAAATAATCAGGTTTACTAGTTGCTAACAGTGGCTTGTGGGAAATCAGCCCAACCTGTTCCTTAAGTGCAGTAACTGTAGCATCCAAGTTCTTCTGTAAAGACACCACTTGCTCCTCGTACTTCTTTGTGAGCCCTGTAACAATGCTCTCGTGCTGCTCTCTGGCTCGCTGAAGTGTTTCAGAGTGATGAAGATCCACCAATTGCTGCTTTAAGCTTTCCAGAGCCATTTCAGTTGTTCTGGACTTCTTGATCATCTAGTCCAATACACAAAGGGCATCCATGTTAACAGTATTTTAACTCTGCGCTCCCCATGGACTTTAAAACTCAACCAGGCTCTAATGAGAGTAAAGAAGCAAGCCAGGTGCTGGTAGCTCATGCCTGTAATCCTAGCTACTCAAGAGGAGATCTGAGAATGGAGCTTCAAAGGTGGCCCAGATGAACAAATCCAATAAGCTAACAAAAAGCTGAATGAAGAGCTGAGGCTCAAGTGGTAGAACCTAAGTGGTGAGTGAAAAAGCTGAGAGAGAATGAGAAGCCTGAGTTCAAGTCCCAGTACTGGCACACACTGACAAATATACACATACACACACACACAAAGGGGTTTCTCCCCATCATGGCCTTTGTTCCTTAAAACCGCCCTAGTACTGGCACACACTGACAAATATACACATCTACACACACACACACAGACACAAAGGGGTTTCTCCCCATCATGGCCTTTGTTCCTTAAAACCGCCCTAGCTGCTGCCCATACAAAGGCCCTGGTTTGCTGGATATGATACTTGTTGAAAATATAGATTACTAGCTGGGCATCTGTAATCCTAGCTACTCAGGAAGCTGAGACCTGAGGATCACGGTTCAAAGCCAGCTGGGGCAAGAAAATCCATGAGACTCTTATCTCTAATAAACCACTCAGAAAACTGGAAGTGGCGCTGTGGCTCAAGTGGTAGAGCACTAGCCTTGAGCTGAAGCGCTGAGGAATTGCACCCAAGCCCAGAGTTCAAGCCCCACCACCACCACCAACAACAACAAAAAGATTCCATAGTTACCAGAGGAGTATGAAAGAGGATTTTACGCAGCATAACAGCAATGTGGGTGTCAGGCAAGGAATCTGCTGCTCGGAGTAAGGTTGACAGTGTTGTGTGCAATGCTCTGTGAGCAAAGTGTGTTGCAATTCAATTGTTAGGTCACAGAAAAATGACAACTGCACCTTGAAAACCTGGTAACACTTGCCAGTGGTCATATATTAAATGCAAACTTTTTTGTTGTTCTGTTTGTGTTTGTCTTTGGTTTGGGTTTTTCTTTTGTTTTTGTGCTGGTCCTGGAGCTTAAACTGAGGGCCTGGGAGCTATCCCTGAGCTTTTTTGGTCAAAGCTCACAGCTCCACTTCCAGCTTTTTACTGGTTAATTGGAAATATGATTTTCATAGACTTTGCAGCTCAGGCCGGCTTTGAACTATGATCATCCTCAGATCTCAGCTCCTGAGTAGCTAGGATTACAGGAGTGAGCCACTAAAGCCTAGCAGTTTCTGTCTTTTTAGACAAGATCTCATCATGTTGCCGAAGATGACTTCAAATTCCTGAGTTCAAGTGATCCTCCTACTGTCTCTGAGTGGCTGGGACCGCAGGTAAGTGCTACCCGCCCTGCTAAAAACAAAGTATTGAAAACACAGCTGGTACTGCAGGAAAAACAAAAGCCCCCAAAGGGTTTCCTAATCCACCTGGTTTATGAGTATGAGCAAGAGAAAATTAATGCTGAAGATGGAATTAAAGGTATTAATCAGATAACCTTAAAATAAAAATGTGCTGCATTCTCTGGTAATAATCAGAAATACTAGGTGGCCACAAGGGCAGATGAGGGAAAAATGAGGGAGAGGGTAACAATGTTCGACAAGAGATGTAATCATTATCTTATGTATGTAACTGTAACTCCTCTGTATATCACGTTTAGAATTTTTAATTAAAAATGTAAGCTGGAAAAGATTAGACAATGGATTCTGCTCCAGAAAGTAACGTGGTCTTGCTATCTCCTTGACCCTAGCCCAGTGAGATCCTTATCAGACCACTAACCTCCAGAACTATAAGATAAACTTGCCGTTTGACATTTTTTGGACGAATTTCCCAGTTTTGCCCGATATTGACCTCAAATTCCTATCTATGCTGCCTAAGTAGGTGGGGGTCACAGACACATGCCACCATGCCTAGTTTGGTGGTTGAGATGAGGTCTTGCCTCAAATTTGATCCTCCTGATCTCCATCTTCCAAAATTATTATTTTGTGGGGCCTGAACTCTGGGTCTGGGCGCTGTCCCTCAGCTCTTCAGCTCAAGGCTAGTGCTCTACCACTTGAGCCACAGCACCACTTCCGGCTTTTTTCCTTTTGCTTATGTGGTGCTGAGGAATCGAACTCAGGGCCTCATGCATGCAAGGCAAGCGCTCTACCACTGAGCCACCTTCCCAGCCCCTCCATCTTCCAAAAAAAAATTATGGTAATCTCTTAGGGCAACAATAGGAAACTATACACTTGGAATATACGGATGAAAAAGGTGCAAGACTTTTGAAGAGTAGTAAGGTCCCCCTTTCCAATCCTAAAACACAAGGTAAAGCACTAGTTGTAACAGGGCAGATACAGAAATACATAAGAAACATTCATTCAACACACACTGATCACCAACTAAGTACCAAGCACCAGGCTAGATAAGTTATGAAGATAAGGGCAGCCCACGGAAATCTTTGAGTTGTTCCTGGACTGCTATAATACAGATGGATCGCTTGACTTAAGGAAAAACTCAAGAAGCAAAAAAAAAAAAAAAAAAGCCAACAACTGTGATGGGGCTTATTGAACCAACAGTCGGTGCGTTCCAGGGAAATGATGACAGATACACAACTATATAGTCAAAGACCACACAGTCATCTTTACATGGTATTTTGTCCCACAGGGAAAGTGGGTCACTGAAAGGCGTTAGGCAAGGAATGACAAAATCAGAACTGTATTCTAGAAAGATTACTCAGTTGGCTCCAAGAGAATTTGTGAGAAAAGTAAGATCAAAGTGTAGTTGAGAGACTTCTACAATTAGAAGAAAAAAATTAGAGACATGCTGGGCGCTGGTGGCTCAATACCTATAATCCTAACTACTCAGGAGGCTGAGATCTGAGGATCATGGTTCAAAGCCAGCCTTGGGCAGGAAAGTCCATGAAATCTTATCTCCAATTAACTACCAGAAAACCAGAAGTGTAGCTGTGACTCAAAATAGGAGATCGGTAACCTTGAGCAAAAGAGCTGAGGGAAAGCACCCAGGCCCTGAGTTCAAGCCCCACAACCACCACTACCAACAACGACGGACGTATAGACATCACCAGAACTTAGAGCTGGCTAGCTGAGGAGAGCAGAGTAGCCAAGGTCTTTCCCCAGACACCTGCAGATGTCAGCACCACCCTCCAAGAGAAGAGGAAGAGAAGCAGGCTGTGGAGGAAGCTACATAAGGTCTTCTAAATTTAATCCTTCCTCATCATGAGGGTGCTTAAGTAAATGTCATGCAACAAGTTTTGACCATAAAGATAAATGGCTCACCTTTTCTTCGTTGCCTTTCAATGCTTGTATTTGGGTCTCCAGTGATTTCACTTGTGCCTCAAGCTGGATCTCCCTCTCTTTTCCGTTCTGGAAGAGTTTCTGTGACTCTCGAAGGCTGAGGGTCAAACCATCCTTTTCATCTAGGGCATGGAAAAGGTTTGGGAAAATGTCACTGTAAAGAGGGCCTAACTGTGACAATTCCTAAGAGATCTTTACCATAGAAAAGAAGCATTGCTGAATAAGTCGAGCAAAAGAATGTTAGGTAATTCAGAAAAGGAATGATTTATAAAAATAAAAATTACTTTCAAGACTCCAAAAACATTGCAACAGAATCACTGCCTTTAATTTCTTTTTATTGCATCCCTTTCTGGGGCCAGAAATCTTAATAATTTCAGCATTTGTTTACCTGAGAGGCTACACAGATATAATACATCGTTGTTAACTAAAAATAGAGCTCTGAGGATCTAGGCATGGTGGTGCACACAGAATCCCAGGAGGCAGGAAGCTGAGGCCAGTTTGTCAATAAAAGAAAAAGTATCTCAGAACCAATTGCCCTGTATCCATACAGGCAATGACCTTTTTAACCTAGTCTTAAATTCTTCCCACATTTTTGCTATAACAGCTTCTCTCAAAATGAATTTTTTGCCAGGAGCTGGTGCCTCACACATATATTCTTAGCTACTCAGGAGTCTGAGATGTGAGGATCACAGTTCAAAGTCAGTCCAGGCAGGAAAGTCTGTGAGACTCTTATCTGCAATTAATCACCAGACAACTGGAATTGGCACTATGGCTCAAATTGGTGGAGTGCTAACCTTGAGCAAAGAGCTCAAGGACAGAGCCCAGGCCCCCAAGTTCAAGCCCCACAAGCAAAATAAAAAAAGAATTTCATGAGTATTACAGAAAACGAGCCTTTCACTCTCAATTAAATGTGAAATGAGCTGGTCACAAGATTCTTCTACAGATGAAAGTTCAACATGAACCAGAGTCCTGTAGCCTTCAAGAAGCAGGCTGGTTAGGATTAGAAGCTGAACTTCCTCCAAGTGATCACACCAGATAGGGCAACCTTTTCTATGGCAACTCAGAGCCTCTCACAATTTCCTTGGCTTAAAATGTTTATGCGGATTTGTAGGCTTGGAAAATGTTGCACTGCAAACTAAACAAATCACTCTGGGAATTAGAATACGTCGTCCAAGGTAATGACATAAGGGATAAACATCTTTTTTAAGGCAGAATGCCCTCAAGAAAGTTAAATAATGCTCATTGAGTCTAACAGCCCAAAAGAGGTGGAGCAGTAAAATACAGAACAAGAAGAAGATGGGGGGAAAAAAAGAAAGAATTGCAGAATAGTATGTTCTCAAAGGAAATAATCCAAGGCCAAGGACCCAGAAGTAATGAGGTTTTCTCTCACTCACTCCGACCCAGTCCAATGAGCTTACTAGAAACAGAAAAGATAGACAAGTAACACAATGAAGTGAGTTTAGTGGGAAAGGCTGTCCAGCCACCGGGTAGATGAGTGTAAAGCAGAGCCCACAGCCACGGGACCCTACCTTGGGTCATCAGCAGCTGATGGTTCAGGTATCGAATCTGGCGCTCACTCTCATTTAGTTTTTCCACCAAGTTGTCAAGCTGTCTCTCTTTGGCTTTGTTCAGAACCTGAAGCTGAATAATCTGCACATTTTCTGGAGAACCTGCTTTGGAATTTAAAGGTGATTTGTTAGAGAAAAACACACATACCAAAGTATAAGTATACAGTCATTAAGGGTGTTTTTTTTTTCAAATTATGAACACAATGCACAGTATTATGAAATCACTTCCACAGATTGTAATGAACATTAAAAAAAATCAAGAAAGAATATAAATAATTTAGTCCTGGGCTGGGAAGGTGGCTCAGTGGTAGAGCACTTGCCTTGCATGCCTGAGGCCCTGGGTTTGATTCCTCAGCACCACATAAGCAAAAAGAAAAAAGCCAGAAGTGGTGCTGTGGCTCAAGTGGTAGAACACTAGCATTGAGCTGAAGAGCTGAGGGACAGCGTCCAGGCCCAGAGTTCAGGCCCCACGACCGGACACAAAAAAAAAAAATTCAGTCCTTTAGTTAGTTAGTTTGGTGGTATTGGGGTTTAAACTCAGGGCTTCTAGCTTGTTAGGTGAGTACTCTACTCCAAAGTTAGACTTCCAGGCCCCTCCCACCCACGCCTACCCTCCCAGCCGCCCCCCCCAACTCCATCTTTTTTTTTTTGCACTGGTTATTCTAAAGAAGAGTTTTGCTGTTTATTTTGGTTTGGGGTGGGGTTTGTTTTGTTTTGGTCTTTAGTTTCTACCCCTCCACATCTCAGACAACGGTCAGGATCTCAATCCCCTTATCTTATTTTACACTTTCGGTCACGCTCAAAGCACCAAAGCCAGCTTCTCTCGGATAAGAGTCTCAGTGTTTTATGTCAGGGCTATAGCCTAGAACTGAGATCCTCTGGATCTCAGCCTCCCAAGTAGCTAAGATTATAGCATGAGCCACTGATTAAATTTAAAAAAAAAAAAAGTAATACAGGAAATATCTCTTAGGCCTTACAGCAGTTAGGATATCTGAGTGCCATCTCTCTACAAACTCTTCCATTACTTTGCTTTTTCAAACTCTATGACTATGAAACTCTAATCAGCAAACTTGACAACTAACCTTATGTTATTTACTTAACTTTCAAACCTGGGAGTTTAAGAAAATGTAACTGGGATAGTAAACAGATGTCAGGCCTCTGCCCCTAAAGCCAATTAGACCATTAACCAATTAGACCTAATTCCTCAGTGCCCAGACATTTGAGCAGAACGGGGCTGCTCTCACATTTGCTATTGACCCTGTCCAGAAAAAGTTCTGGGCCACCCCCATAGCCATCCTGGACCCTAGAGGAAGCAACAGTACGATGTCACAGCACGAAAATCCAGTGTGTTTTGTGGCCTAACCCAGATAACCAGGAGTATCCTGCTCAACTTTTCCCCAACTAAGGAGAAAAACAAACTGTAACCACACTCTGGTTTTTCAACATGCAAAATAATTGAAAGTTATTTAATATACTAGAGCGCATGGCAATAAACTAATTTAGGATAGTCACTGTACAAATTTAGGGTTGTAGCATTTGGGGGGTTTTTGGTTGCTTTTTTTTAAAACTGGAATTTCATCTCAGATTTTTCTTGTAGTACTTTTTCTATGAGTACTTTTGTTTGTGGGTTGTTTCTGGTTGGTACCAGGGGCTAGACTCAGAGCTTCATGCTTGCTGGACAAGCATTGTACCATTTGAGCCACACTCCTAACACCTTCGGCGTTAGTTTGTTTTTCAGATAGGGTCTCAGGCTTTGGGTCAGGCCAGCTCAGACTACAATCTCCTACCTCCGCCTTCCAAGTAACAACTACATTCAGCACTTTTCTTATTTCATATTTATACATAAACTACCAAGAAAAAAATGGAGCAACTAGGATGTGACTGAGCCTGAGATGTAAATTCTAAAGTAATTTATTAAGCTGGGCATGGCTCACACCTATAATCATAGCTGAGTATGAAGATAATGGTTCAAAGTAAGCCCGTGAGACTCATCTGCAATTAACTACCAGAAAACCAGAAGTGGAGGGGTGACTCAAAGTGGTAGAGCACTAGCCTTGTGCATAAAATCTCAGGGACAATTTCCAGGTCCTGAATTCAAGCCCCATAACCAACAGGAAAAAAAGTAATTTATTATATTAAAACATAAAAGTCAAATGTAAAAATAAGCCAATAGGGCTGGGAAGGTGGCTCAGTGGTAGAGTGCTTGCCTTGCATATATGAGACCATGGGTTTGATTCCTCAGCACCACATAAGCAGAAAAAAGCCAGAAGTGGAGCTGTGGTTCAAGAGGTAGAACGCTAGCCTTAAGCTGCAGAGCTGAGGGACAGCACCCAGGCCCAGAGTTCAGGCCCCATGACTGGCAAAAATAAGTAAGTAATAGCTGATTAAATTCTTTTTATAAAATGAAAAATCTGAGACTGATGAGAAAATTTTATCTCATTTGCCAAAGTAGACTTCAGTAAGAAACACAGGAAGCTCACAAAAAGTTCTAAAAACCAGAATGACTATGATATACAGCTGAGGATTTTTACTGTTTATTATGAAAATTTTCATATACATTTTAAGAAAGTAGAGAGATAAGCACAATGAAGCCCAAGAACCCACCTTCAGGATTTAACAATGATGAATTCATGGCCAGTTTTGCGTCTCTATGTTCCCAGCCAATATTCATTATTCCCCAACAACCTTTATATCTTTCCCTTCTTGTGGTGCCACAGAGCAAATCCAGAGCCTTGTGTGTACTAAGCAAGCACTCTCCCACTAAGCTACATCTCTAGCCCTGGGGTTTTTGGAGACAAGGTTTTATGTGCAGCTCAGGCTGGCTTTCAACTCAGGATCTTCCTGCACCAGACTCCCAAATGCTGAGATCAATATATTATTGTGAACTAAAGCTCAGATTCACAACCAGTTCAGTACAAATCTCTAAAAACAAGGGCCCTTTTGAAATAGCTAGACAATTCTTTGGTCATAAAGTTTTGTGAACCAGATGCTGGTGGCATTTATCTATAATCCTAGCTACTCAGGAGGCTGAGATCTGAGGATCATGTTTCCAAGACTGGTCAGGGAAGTTCGTGAGACGCTAATCTCCAATTAACCACCAAAAAGGCAAAAGTGGAACTGTGGCTCAAGTGGTAGAGAGCACTGGACTTGAATAAAAAAGCTAAGGGAAAGCACCCAGGCCCTAAGTTCAAGCCCCACTACTGGCACATGTACACATACATGCAAATGCATGCACACACACATACACACTCAACACACACACACACATACACAAATAACCCACGAATGGCCAGTGTTCAAAATCTCCCAATTACATTATTAAAAATAAATATAAATATGACACCTACTTTCATTAGCTCCTAAAAACTGTTGTTGCAAGCCTTCAAATCGATCGCTTCCAGCTGTTTCCTGCCCTGGTGAACTACTGCTCTGAACAGAAGATTGATATGGTTTATATATCACTTTATACGGTTCCAGAGTTTGACCGTTGGGACTTTGTGATGAACCAAATTGCTATGAAATCATGAAAAATGAAATGATTTATTAGGATTAGTGGAGATTTTGTCCAAAATTATCTAAATTAGACTTCTTGATGTCACGCTATAAATGCTAACTGGAGTACAGTTACAAACTTTTTATAGACATCTTTGCTTGGAATAATTTAATACTGTTAATTCATTCTTCACATTGCATGATTATACAATAAAAATAACCTCCTTGAATGGATAAAAATATCTTGTCGATAAGTGACATATAACAACAACTAGCAAAATAAGGCACTTCTTGTCACTGAGAAATTGTAAAAAGTAACATATCCTGAGGCCTTACTTCACTAAACAATCCCAGAGAAAAAAATAGTGGTTTTTCTTCCTTCAGCATTCATCTTGCTGACTCCTGTAAAACCATACAAAACAGGTATTTACTTTGAGTGTCTGGTCTAAGATCTGTTCTAAGGAATTTGAGTAAATGATTTCATCTACATAAAATGACTATTTAAATGACTCTATTAAGATACCAAGCCCGGGCATTGATGGCTCATGCCTGTAATCCTTGCTATTCAGAAGGCTGAGATCTGAGGATCACAGTTCAAAGCCAGCGTAGGCAGAAAAGTCCATGAGACTCTTATCTCCAGTAAGCCACCAGAAAACTGGAAATGGCGCTGTGGCTCAAGTGGTAGAGCGCTCTTTTTGAGCTGAAGAGCTGAGAGACAATGCCCAGGCCCAGAGTTCAAGCCCCATGACCAAAAAAAAAAAAGATACCAAGAGTACATCTTCTCACAAGAAAGTAATAAAAACCAGAAGCTGCCAGGCACTGGTGGCTCACGCCTGTAATCCTAGCTACTCAGAAGGCTAAGATCTGAGAATCATAGTTCAAAGCCAGCCCAAGGCAGGAAAGTCTGTGAGAATCTTATCTCCAATTAACCACTCAGAAAACAAGAATTGGCACTATGGCTCAAGTAGTAGAGTGCTCGCCTTGAGCTGAAGAGCTAAGGGACAGTGCCCAGGCCCAGAGTTCAAACCCCACAACCGACAAAAAAAAAAAAAAACAGAAGCAACAGTAAATAAGGATAATTTCAGACTGAGAGACTTTTCTGCTCAGAGCTAGCTTTAAATCCTCATCCTCTAGATCTCAGCCTCCTGAGTAGTTAGTATTACAGGCATGAGCCACTGGTGCCCTGGCTACATACATTTTCTAAAACATATAAAACACACCAAAAAAGTGTATATATACACACAAATTCTGGAACATCAGATTCCCATGATACCTGAAAATGGTTCCTTTGAGGATCTGAAAATTTCATTACATCGGTTGGTTGGTTATGAAGTTCCTGCTTCTGACCAGTGGTAAACGGTCTAAAGTTTTCAGGAAGGTGATACAAATCAGCCTGCTCATGTTTATGGGGAGGGCTGTATCCACTTCCGCCTTCATCACCACCTTCTCCATCATGGTATCCAGGAAGCTGATTTTCTTCCCAGCCATTGCCATGTTTCTCGCCAAGGAATAAACCCTGAATTGCATTATATTCCTGTTAGGTAACACACATAAAAGGAAAGCACTTGGGTCTATTTTCAAACCCTCAGAGAAGTCACAGCAGATACTTACATTTACACTCGAAGGTTTGGGCAGCACTTGGTGCTCATTCCAGTTTCTCTCCAATTGTTCAGGAGGATGAAGTCTTAAGAAAGAGCAATACTTTAGATTTAAGGAATCCCATTTATTTGGACAGAGATAACACAAAGAACCCCTAAGATTCTACTACGTGTTGTTTAGTAATTGCCGTTTTCCCTTCAATATTCTCTCAACCTATTACAAATGGGTCAGCAATTTTCTACTCATGAACGTTAGAACCCAAAGAAGACTTATAGGATGCCACAACAAGAGAAACTGGCAGCAGCTCCTTACTCTCGTTCTGGGCCATCCTCGCTGCAGTCGGAGTAGTGGAGATCCGGAGAGGAAAGTTCGTCATCCAGCATATCATGGGGGAGGTCTGTGAGTAATTGCTGCAACTGAGTCAGGAAAATCTCATCAGTGTCAGAGCAGATGCCCCTCGCCCCGCAAAAAAAAAAAAAAAAAAAAAAGCTGGCTTGGAGCTAGCCAAGTGTGACCTTCCAAGTGAGACAAGTTTCTAAAGCCTCCAGTTAAGTCATCTCAACATTCTACAGGAATCGTGCTCAGCATTTCACTTGAGGAGAGGGGGATATGTACATTGGGTTTTAGAGTAAAAGACTTTTTTTTCTACAAAGGGTGTCAGATTTAAAACCACATACACAAATTCAGCCAGTCACAATGATGACCACAGTGGCACTGTGTCAGACGGGGCAGATCTGCCTTGGTAGTCACACCTTGGGGACCCAACGGTCCGGCTTACAACAGGGAAGGTGAGCTGCCAGCTGCATTCGGCCCAGATGGTGAGCAGGGCAGGGGCAGCAGGTGGCCCTGACAATGTGAGCGAAAACCCTTGGGGAGGGACTAATTAGTACACAGCCATCTAATTCCAATTATGAAAAGATATATAATACTCCACTCTAATAAAGCACCTGGGATCCCATTTTCCACAGTAATCTCTCCTCAAATCCCAATATGAAGTGTCTCAAAATTTCTAATCATGAGACTCAAATAATAATTTATTACTAAATGATTTATAGTGGGTCTGATTTTAGCAACTTCTCCTTAGAAACTAAGCATCGTTTAATTTACAAGTGACTAAGTCTCTCCAGAGTACCTAAGTTAATACCATAAAACTATACTATGCCTTAACTTTGAACACATTAAATATTCTGTAAAACTGAATGGTAGGAGTTCAAATTCAATGCCTCATAAACTATAGCAAGTGACTGTAATTTTTTCTTATTGTTTTGGCCTTTTATGGTTTTGTTTTTTCCTTTTTTTTTTGGTCGTGGGGCTTGAATTCTGGGCTTGGGCACTGTCCCTGCACTCTTCAGTTCAAGGTGAGCACTCTACTGCTTGAGCCACAGTGTCACTTCGGGTTTTCTAGTGGTTTACTGGAGATAAAGAGTTTCAGGGACTTTCCTGCCCGGGCTGGCTTTGAACCTCGATCCTCAGAATTTCAGCCTCCTGAGTAGCCAAGATTACAGGCGTAAGCCACCAGCGCCTAGCTGGTCTGTTTTTTTCTTTAGGGGAGATATTCTTTTGCTGTTATTTTGACTGGGAGTTTGGGTTTGCAGTTCTTTTGGTTTTCATTGTCTGCAATTAGTATAAGGGAAAGGCGAAGAAACTATACATATCTGAGTATCAGTTCAAAGCCAGCTAAAAGCAAGAAAATCCATGAGACTCTTACATCCAATAAACTACCAAACTACCTCAATAAGGCAGGAAGTGGAGCTATGGTTCAAGTGGTAGAGTACGAGCCATAAACCAAAAAGCTCAGGGACAGGGGCTGGGAAGGTGGCTCAGTGGTAGAGCGCTTGCCTTGCAAGCATGAGGCCCTGGGTTCGATTCCTCAGCACCACATAAGCAGAAAAAAGCTGAAAGTGGCGCTGTGGCTCAAGTGGTAGAGCGCTAGCCTTGAGCTGAAGAGCTGAGGGACAGCGCCCAGGCCCAGAGTTCAGGTCCACGACCGGACCCAAAAAAAAAAAAAAAAAAAAAAAGCTCAGGGACAGCACCCAGGACTGATACAAAAAAAAAAAGGAAAATGAAAAGACTTTTCTTAAAACATGTATCATTAGCGGGGTACCAGTGGCTCACGCCTATAACACTAACTATCCCAGGAGGCTGAGATCTGAGGATCGTGGTTTGAGGTCAGCCAGGACAGGAAAATCCATGACTCTTATCTCTAATAAAGTATTCAGAAAAAGCCAGAAGTGGTGCTGTGGCTCAAGTGGTGGAGTGCTATCCTTGAGTACAAAGAGGCCCAGAGACAAAGTTGAACAAAGCTCTGAATGTTCCAAATTGTCAACTGAGATCTTTTTCTTTTTCTTTTTTGCTTTTTTTTTTACTCTTTTTATTATCTTTAAGTAGTTGCCAAATTGTCAACTGAGTTTCGATGAGAAAGAATTTGGGGATGGGCCTGGGGTACATGCAGTGGAATGGGAGATACCTCCTCACTCCTTATATAGTTCTGACAATCACTGGATTTTTCAAAAAGTGATTTCTCAACCTATTTGGTTCTTTAAAGTGAAACAAAAGAAAGATATTCTTTCTAAGGAAGTTCTTTATCTTCAAATCAATTTGATATTAAAAATCAAGACCTGGGGCTGGGAAGGTGGCTTAGTGGTAGGCTGCTTGCCTTGCATGCATGAGGCCTGGGGTTTGATTCCTCAGCACCGCATAAACAGAAAAAAGCTGAAAGTGACGCTGTGGCTCAAGCGGTAGAGCACTAGCTTTGAGCTGAAGAGCTGGAGGGACAGCACCCAGGCCCAGAGTTCAAGCTCCACAACTGACCAAAAAAAAAATTTTTTTTTAATTAAAAATCAAGAACGTGTGCTTTTCTTGTTGACTAGCTATAGCTGCTCATGCACAACCATTGGGGGAAAAAAATCATTTTGAGTGACTGGGAAGGTGGCTCAGTGGTAGAGTGCTTGCCTTGCATGAATGAGGCCCTGGGTTCAATTCCTCAGCATGACATAAACAGAAAAAGCTGGAAGTGGTGCTGTGGCTCTAGTGGTAGAATGCTAGCCTTGAGCTGAAGAACTGAGGGACAGCGCCCAGGCCGAGTTCAGGCCCCACGACTGACAAAAAAAAAAAAAAAAATCATTTTGAGAACTAAATCAGAGTTGGTCCAAAGACAAAGAATAAGACAGACAGACCATCAATAAGAACAGACAACTGAGGGACACATAAACACATCACAAGCCTAGCTGAGAGGCAGCAAAACAATTCTATGAAGACAAAATAAAACACCTTTATCAAGGACTTTGAAAATTAGCCCATCTGTCCTGTCTATAATTATGCATCACTGCTTTAAAGATAAACACTATTCTACACATTACACCAGGGAAAAAAACAAAATCAATGTGTTATACTTACATTAAGTAAGGAGTCCTGCACTGAAAGAATGTTTTCTTCTAAACCTTCAGCAAGCTCCAAGTACATAACCTGGTAACTGAGGGGATTCGTAACAGAGGCATCTGCACAGTACATTGCCCTCCTCTCACAAAGACAAAAAAAAAAAGCTGCATAAACTTTAGCAGTTACGATAGCTTTCTCTGAGATTAACAAAACTGGCTCCCCATGGGGGAAAGACAACTAATTTGAACTGAGCAATCAACATATCAAAATGCTCCTGGATCCGCAGGTAGACTTATGAAGGAACAGAAATATCCCTATAGTATTTAGTCTTGTGGTTTACATATGTACTAACATTTTTAAATAGCTTAGTTCACCTTCACAAACTTCCTCTGACACATTCTCTGACAGAGCTGAAGCTTTCTTCCTCTGGGTTCTATGACTTCCAGGAAGAAGCTAAAGCAGGTAAAGTCTTCCTAACAGAGTCATTCAGGAGCAAGATCTGAACCCCTCGATCAAAATGTACCCTCTTGCTATTGACTATCACGTCAATTTTTGATTTGATCACTAAACCTTGGGCCACAGAACACAAAATTTCTCTTATCAACCTAAGCATGTTACCAAATAGAGAATGTTGGAAATGCATTAAAAAAAAAAAATCCACCAAGTTTCAAATACTGATTAAAAGACAAAGATAAGAATCCTTATGTACAAGATTTCAACCCATTCGTTAATCTCAAATTCAACAGATTGCTTTTCAACTGCAAGTAGCAATCTTCTCAACTGGGACATCATTGTCTTTCAGCTGAGATACCTTCTCTAGAAAAGACAAATTGTAAATCATTCTATAAATTACTTCATATGTTATTTCCTAGAAAGAGAAAAGGTGTATATGGGATGGAGAGGTGGGGGAGACATGATTTATTAACTCAAAGAACTTCATCAACCAAACACTATGTAATAACCCTGTGAGAATGTACGACGGATAACAAAGTGAAGCTTTATTAGAACTGTCAATTTAAATTAACTAAACGGACTTATCTTCACAGCCTCTAATCCCTGACACACAGGAAGGCAAGCATTCTCAGATTACAAACCACACAACTCCTCCCAAGGGAAAAGCAGAAAACTGAGTAGCCAACAGTCACATGTCTTTCAAGCAGTCTAATACATCCTAATACATCCATTTCTAAAAATGATCCCAGTATTAATAATAATGCTTTCATAGACGTAAATTAAGTAGAATGTTTATTTTAATCAAAGCACCAACTTTAAAATATATCTAAAAAGGCTCAGTATGGAATTGATTTTTTTCAAAAGCCAGAATAATCTAGGGACTACAGCTTTAGTTTATAAATTTTATTGTTTAGCTCATGCTTGTAATCCTAGCTACTCAGGAGGCTGAAATCTGAGGATAGGGGTTCAAAACCAGCCTGGGCAGGAAAGGCTGTGAGACTCTTATCTCCAATAAACCACTCAGAAAACTGGAAGTGGTGCTGTGGCTCAAGTGATAGAGCACTAGCCTTGAGCTGAAGGAGGGACAGCGCCCAGGCCCAGAGTTCAGGCCCCATAATCAACAACAAATAAATATTCAGAATGAAAAAACAAAAAAAAGACCATCTCAGTCATTAAATTCTCTGGCATTGGCAGGGAAAACTTATCTAGGTTGCTGCATATCTGAAAGAGAAATATAGCAACACTTATCAAGACTGGTAAGAGTTGCACTTGGATAATGTCTCATAGGGTTTAGGGCTACAAATACACAGACACAGGCTGGGAAGGTGGCTCAGTGGTAGAGTGCTTGCCTAGCATGCATGAGGCCTGGATTCCATTCCTCAGCACCACGTACACAGAAAAAGCCAGAAGTGGTGCTGTGGCTCAGGTGGTAGAGTGCAAGCCTTGAGCAAAAGAAGCTCAGGGGCAGTGCCCAGGACCAGAGTTCAAGCCTCAGGACTGGCCAAAAAAAAAAGGACACAGGCACTCCTCCAAGCCAAGCCATCCCTTTTACAGGTGAGCAAAGCAAAGGCCAAAGAACACAGGGACAAGCCAAGAAGAGTGAAAGTTTCAAATAAGTAAGTTTCAAAGCCAGAATCAGCCTGAATCTCTCCATTTTCACTTTTCCTCTCTCCATCTATGTGACATTTCATTTATTTCTACACCTTCATCCTGCCAATAAGAAGCTGGTGTTTTTGTTCCTTGGAAAAACACTTGTATGTAACGGGGGAAACTCACAGAGAGCAATCAAGAGAAAGTATGAAAATAGGTAAAGGAGCCAGGCACAGCAGTAAACACCTATAAATCCCATGTAGAAGATGAAGACAGGAAGATCACAGTTTGAGGCTGGCCAGGGGTAAGAGAGAGAGGTAACAAGATCTATCTCAAAAGACAAATTTGGGATAGAAGCAAAAGCCTGCAATCCCAGCTACTCAAGAGGTTCAGAGGAAGAAAGATCGTAGTTCAAGGCTAACCTTTGAGACCCTATCTGAAAAATTAAAACAAAAAGGGAAGCTGGGCACTGGTGGCTCATGCCGGTAATCCTAGCTACTCAGGAGACTGAGATCTTAGGATCGTGGTTCAAAGCTGGCCCAGGCAGGAACGTCTGTGAGACTCTTATCTCCAATAAACCACTCACAAAACTGGAAGTGGTGCTGTGGCTCATATGGTAGAGCGCTAGCCTTGAACTGAAGACCGGAGGACAGCGCCCAGGCCCAAAGTTCAAGCCCCAGGACCGATCCAAAAAAAAAAGGCTAGAATGTACTGAAGTACTTCTGAAAAAGCTCAAGGCCTTGAATTTAAACCACATTACTATTTTTAGAAAGCTAAAGGAAATTATATGCAAAATATGATCAAAAATATGAAAACTTTTAAGACACATCATTTCTTGAATTTTCTTGGGTAATGACAAGAAAATTCACTGTCAGTCAGTGTGAGAACTCTTTCCGGTATGAGAACAAAACAACAACATGTTCCCATAATTACATCAGTAAGGCAGTCAATAAATAGAAGAAAGCTGTACAATGGAATCCTGCCCCTCCAATGCACCATTCCAAGCTCCTGGGAGCTGTAGTATTCTGTTTGTTTTTTGGGTCCGGTCGTGGGGACTGAACTCTGGGCTTGGGCGCTGTCCCTCAGCTCTTCAGCTCAAGGCTAGCACTCTACCACTTGAGCCACAGTGCCATTTCCGGCTTTTTTCTTTTTTCTTATGTGGTGCTGAGGAATCGAACCCAGGGCCTCAGGCATTCAAGGCAAGTGCTCTACCATTGAGCCAACTTTCCAGCCCTGGAGCTGTAGTATTCTATTACTGAACTACTAACATAAAATCCAAGAGGGACCACTGCCAGGTATGAATTTCTCTCCACCATCTGCTCCTTAAACCATCCTACCTTTCTGCTCAAGATCGTTTTCAAGTATATCACCACCAAATGAACCATTAACAGCAAGTACTACCTTAACCACCAGCTCCAAAATTTCTCCATATGTAAGTTAAGCTTCCTCTCTAGATGAACAATAACCAAGCTATTTCTTGGAAACGCAGAAGAGCACATGGATACTCTGGCATGCCCAAGTGACATCTGCCTTTAGCCACGGTTTTACCAATGACTGAGCAGCTTATAACAACCATTCCTATTCACAACAGTAAGTAACTCATGGAGTAACAGGCACTCATCCACCTTTGAAGGGTCCAAATACCCATCAGCTTACAGCATTTTGCCTTGTTTGGTTTTAAAGGAAAATAAATACCCTCAAAATTATACTAGATGAGCACAAAGAAAAGCTGGGAAGGACTGGGTTTAGAGTCTTTTTGTTTTTCTTTTTTTTGGGGTCTGGTCGTGGGGCCTGAACTCTGGGCCTGGGCGCTGTCCCTCAGCTCTTCAGCTCAAGGCTAGC